CTCCTATTCCAACTCACAAAAACCCTGTATGACAGATATATAGATATATATATCTATATATCTAAGATTTTTTTTTAATTGGCTTATAATTTTCTTTTCTAGTGGTGTCTTTGCATGGCGTTGGTATAAGGGCTATGTTCACTTCATAAAATCAATTTGGGAGTATTCCCTCCTTTTCTGTATTCTGGAATAGTTTGAGTAGAATTGGTGTCAGCTCTCCTCTGAATGTTTGGTAGAAGTCACAAGATAATTAGTTGCCAACTTTAAAAAATCTGGGGATTTCACTTTAAAAAAACGTTATCTCTGGGTTCTCCTAAAAATAAAACAAAAATCTAGCAACACGGGATTCACAAATTTACTTGGTCACTTGGTTAACATTGGCTGGATTCTGGCGGGAGGGCCGTGGGGATGGACGGCCCTTCTCTGTTGTTGTTAGCTGCCCTTGACTTGGTCCCTGGCTCATGAGGACTCCATGCCCCGCAGAACTAACCAGCGCCCAGTCCTGTGCCATCCCCGTGATGTTGTGAGCCATAGGGCAGTGTTTTTGTTGTTGTTGTTGTTTTTTTTCTCTTTTAATTGTGATTTGGGTGCAAATTTACTAAGCAGATTCGTTTTCCCCTCAACAGATCATGCATATTTGGTTTCAGGGCCCCAATTACAACCCCAACAATAAAAAGCTCTCCTCCCAGCTCCTCCCTGCAATCACCCCTTCCCCTCACCCCTTCCCTGTGTCTTTCTTATCTATGTATTCCTGTCTGTCCAGCTTTCTTTCTGTGCAAATGCTGCCCTTATGATGTCCCTTGGTTGATTGATCTAAGGGGTGCATTTCCCCTTCCACAGGGTGTTCATTGACTGATTTTTTTGAAAGTAGATCACCAGGCCTTTCTTTTTGGTCCATCTTTGTCTGGAAACTCTTCTGAAATCTGTTCAGCATCATGTTGTTGCTGTTGTTATGTGTCGTCGAGTCAGCCCCAACTCATAGCGACCTCTCCTTGGGTTTCTGAGGCGGTATCACCATGGAAGTAGATTGCCCAACCTTCCTTCCAAGGAGTGACTGGTGGGTTTGAACCGCCAGCCTTCTGGTTTGCAGTCAAGGGCCTTAGGCACTATGCCACCAGAGCTCCTGTTTAGCATCATAGCAACATGCAAGCCTTCACTGACAGGCTCTGGGTGGTGGCTGCACGTGAAGTACACTGGCTAGTTATTCAACCCAAGTTTCCCACATGGAAGGGGAGAGTTCTACTGTTGCCCCTCTTTAGCTCCACACATTCACAAAATAAACACTCTTATGTAATCAGCCCCAGATCCAGAAACTGAGCATCACCAGAACCCAGAACCTCCTCGTGTCCCCCCAGTGACTCCTGTCCCCAGTGCAAGGATACTCACATTCTGGACTGATCACAGCATAGTTTTGCCTGCCTTTGTATGTTATACAAATGAAATGATCCAGTGCATACTATTTTGTGTCTTTCATTTAACATTATGTTTGCTTGTAAACTTCATTCATATCACTTCATGAAGCTTAGTTCATACACGTTTATTGTTTTATAGTGCTCCTTCACATGCATAGCCTACAACGTACTTATTCTTCTGTTGGTAGACATTTATACTGTTCTCAGATTTTGGCTATCATGAATCTTGTTGCTATGAACGTTCTTGTACGTATTTATCACACACATGTGTGTGTATTTATGCATTTCTAGTGGGTATGTAGCCAGGAACAGAATTGCTTTGGTGGACCCTGGCACACAGTTTTTCAGATTGTACCAGTCTACTTTCCTACTAGTTGTTGTCAGTTTCTGATGTTTGCCTTGTTAATTGTTGTTACCTGACAGGCCCTGCAAAAAACGGCATGGAGGCCACATGTTATGACCTCCTCTAATCCCACAAGAGGAAGGCAGAATCACCATCAATAGCCCAAGGCCTATTACTGCAAGGCTAGACATGCTGCCTCCCTCCAGCTCTTTGTCCAACCGTTCCCCCCAAAGCACCCACCACTTCTCTCCTGGATTCGATAATTCGCTGCAGTGGCCACACAGAACTCACAGATAATGGGGTTTATTAGGGAAGCATCAGGCTACAACTCAAGTTCAGGAAGAACGCTCAGTCTCTCTCCCAGCCCACAGTTCCTCAGCCAACAGTCTCTCACAGTCTCTTTCCCAGCACTGCTGGTCCCTCGGTGTCTCACTCAGCAATGCATGTCTCTTGCGTCTCTTCCCCAGCTGCACGTGTCTCTTTCTGGGGCGCATCTTCCTCAACCAGCATCTTCCTCAACCAGCAATCAGAGAGAGTTCTGCCTCCAGGAGGCCTCCTTTTGAGCCCGGAAGGGTGGTCAAGCTAGCCAATCACAGCATCAGAACTCTAAGCATGTGAGAGAGAGTAGGAACCTCCCAGAACATTGTATTGTGCCCCGCCCAACAGAAATAACCCAGGTGGATAGTTTCAGCAATCAGGAGCTCCTCAGTTGCTCATAGAAAATCCCACCTTGGAATTTACAAAGACTCATGGATAGAAAAGCCACACTAAGTAATTTACTACACTGCAGGCCCCAAAAGGCAACGGGGTTTGTAGTTCCCAGGCAAGAGGCTTCTAAGGGTTCTTCCAACTCTAACCTTTTATCCTTCTCTAAAATTCCTTACTTAGTTGTTATTTTAAAAACACGAGTGAATGTTGCTACAAGTCTTCTAAAGGGTACCTGCTTTCCCCTCCTTTGATTGTTAGCTACTGTTAACTTGGCTCTGATTCATAGTGATCTTATGTATAAAAGAATGAAATATTGTCCAGTCTCCCACCATCTTCATGATTGTTGCTACGTTTGGAGGACACTGAGTCAATCCTCCTCACTGAGGGCCTTCCTCACACCTTCACCAACACTCTACCAACCATTATGTCTTTTTCTGGCTATTGGTCTTTCCCCATGACGTGTCCAAAATAAGCAAACCGAAGTCTCACCATCCTTGTTCTAAGCATTCTGGGTTTGTTTTTCACTAAATTGTTATTAATTTTATTGTTGCTATTGTTGAAAATACATTTAACAAAACATACACCAATTTGGTTGTATTCTAAGGCTGATTCGCTTGTTCTTTTGGCAGTTCATGGTATACAAAATTCTTCACCAACATCACAATTTAAATACATCAATTTTTCTGTTTTCTTTTTTCATTGTTCATCTTTTGCATATATATGAAGCATTGGAAAGACCATGACTTGAGTCTAGGGCACCTTAAAGCAGACCAGACTCACTGCCATCAAATTGATTCCTACTCATAGCAACCCTACAGGACAGAGTAGAACTGCTCCATAGGGTTTCCAAAGCTAGATATTTATGGAAACTGACTGCCTCATCTTTCTCCCACAGAGTGGCTTGTGGGTTCAAACAGCCAACCTTTTGGTTGGCAGCTGGATGCCTTAACCACTGGATTCATCCTTGGCATCCTCCCTATGCACCCACTTAAGATCATGCCTAGAGTCTTGGAGATGGGGTGGCGGGTTTGGGGAGTGATGGAGTGGAAAAGACTCCAACCCCCACATCAGGCCCCAGGAGATGGGAGAGAGCAACTGATTCCCTTTCTGCCACCCACCTGCTCCAAAGCAAGCCTCTTGTTCGCCTTCACTGAGGTCCGAGCAGGAGAAAAAGGCTGATTCCAGGGCTGCAGGCGAGTCGCTGGGCTTGTTCCAGTCCTTCACTCAATGAGGTGAGCCAGTAGGCCCTGGGCCACCTTGGTCATCAAAATCACATCTTTGCTTTCTAATTCCTTTTTTTTTTTTTTTTTAATAATTTTATTTTGTTATTGTTAAGTATACACAGCAAAACAGTTTCTACATGTCACTGTTTAATTCTTGATTATCAAAAAACCAAACCAGTTGCTTCAGTGTAGAGCTGCACTCTGTGGGGTTCTTGTGGTCGTGGTTGTGACCTTTCAGAAAGAGATTGCATCTGCTGAGGTGCCTCTGGGTGGGTGAGTTCAAATGAATCACCAACCTTTTAGTTAGTAGCCCAGTGTTAACTGTGGGTGCCACCCAGGGTGATAGAGAATCTGTTCAACATTCCTTTATCTGAATCCTCCAAGCTGAGACCTGGAAGTTGGGAAGGAGTTAGCTAGTCAGCGGTGTGTGTGTGTGTGTGTGTGTGTATGTGTGTGTGAGTGAAGAATGTCCTATGGGGAAGTGAGGCAAAAGCATGTGTTTAAGTCTCCTGGAGACCAAAGGAAAAAAGGAAAAAAAGCTCACTGCCATCAAGTCAATTCCAACTTATAGCTACCCCCTTTGGATTTCTGAGGTGGTAAATCTTTACAGAAGTAGATTACCCAGTCTTCCTCCTGCAAAGTGGCTGATGGATTTGAACCACCAACCTTCTGGTTAGCAGTCTAATGCCTTAGGCACTGTGCCACCACAGCTCCTTAAAGGGAAAAAAAAAAAAAAGGAGAGGACAATTTTTCAGTGAAGGTAGGACTTTCTACCTAAGGAATTTGGGAAATGACCGAAGTAAGCTGTTTCTTGATCAACAATACCGTGAGGCGCCTTCTGAGAACAAAACTACTCCCCACAAGGAAGACTCACACCCAATAATGCCCAGCAAAGAAATGCAAAGATTGAAACTAAAAGGAGTTTACCCTGATTGGAGGGTGGGTGGGGAGTAGGAAGAGATAAGGCTGGGGAAGGAGGCAGGGGCCTAGCTTGTCCCAAAGTCTTGTAAATATCTCCTCCTGGAGGGGCGTCTCCAGAGCAGATTTAACCTGGTGCTGTCTCTTTTCTCCAAGCTTTTTCCAGGCAGCCATCTCTCCTTTCATCTGGTTCTTGGGCTTTGCTTGCACCATGGCCCCAAAACGCCAGTCTTCACTCCTGCCTCAGACGAAGAAACCTAAGCTGCAGGAAACGTTGGCCTCTCTGAACTTGCTGAAGGGAGGTAAGTCTCTGCATTACATTTTATTGAGGATTGAAGGGATTTGCAAGAGTTGACTATATGTATTCCCCCCCCGCCCCATCCCTCTTAAAACATGACTCCAAACTTCCCTGAAAAGAAAGAACCAGAATGGGTGAATCCCAGGAGCACATGGCAGCACATCCATGCCCCCAGTGCAACGCCAACACCGAGCTCAACTCCCCATCCTCAAAACCCACTCTTCCTCTGGGGTTCCCTCTCTTGGTGAGGCTGGGGTGACACGTGACTCTTGCTTCTCCATCACCCCTTTACACCCAGTCAACTCCCCAAGTCCTAGTGGTTTTACCTTCTCAATACCTCTCATATCCGTTTAACTCTTCCTGCCGGTGCGACCCTCCGCAGCTCTGGCCCAAACTGTTGCCACCACCTTCTCATTTGGCTTCCCAGTTTCCTGCTCCTATCCAGCCCAAGCTAAGCTGATCCACGTGGCTCACTGGCCTGAAAACCATTCCCAACCCCCTTTCCCATTGCCCTTTAGGTAAAGCTCTAGAGGCTACCAGGGCCTGGCCTTACCTGCCTCCTCCCCGAAGCATCACAGTCCTGACACTCTGTCACCATCCAGAGCCTTTTTTTCTTACCTCAGAGTTATGGATCCCCACTTAACCCTTGCCTGGATCACTCTCCTCCTCTACTGGCCCACATCCTCCTTGTTGTTCAGGTCTCTGCTGAAAAGTCATTTCTTGCAGGCATTCTCCTTTGGCCACAGTTCCTTGGTGCTAGGAGCCCACCTCTGCCCTTGCAGTGGCTAGAATCGCCCCGCCCCAACCTTTATGTCCTTACATTGTAATTTTAACTGTTGATTTCATGTCTTACTCCACCCCACCTCCCTCAATTAGATGTTAACTTAGCACTGTGTATCAAAGGCATATAGTTTGGAGCCAGACACAAAATTGGTTGTTTTGCTGGTACAGTGGGGGAGCCCTGGTGGTGCAGTGGTTAAGCACTTGGCTGCTAACCTACAGGTTGGCAGTTCGAACCCACCAGCCGCTCTATGAGAGAAAGAGGAGGCAGTTTGCTTCTGTAAAGGTTACAGCCTTGGAAACTCTATGGGGCAGTTCTACTCTGTCCGTTAGGGTCACTGTGAGTCTGATTTTGGTTTTGGATCAAGTGGGGAAGTGGTGGGGCCTTTAGGGGAGAACTGGGTTTTGGCAGGTATGAGGTAGGGAAGTGGGCTGAAAAGCATGCCCTAGGACATATGACTTGACGACATATAACAACAACAACAGGACATATGACAGCAGGCTAGCTTTGAGGACACAGGAGAGGGGCTTGCAGCAGACATGGCCAAAGTCCGGCCATGCTTGTCAAAGGAGCACTAGATGCGGAGTGCTCATCTCAGTGCTCCTGCAGACCTGCTGAGTGACCTTGGCACGTTGTTTAACTCGACTCTCAGTCCTTTCACCTTCCACATGGGGATGCCAAGCATTTCTACCCTGTTGACGTCCATCCCAGTGTAGGGAAGCTGGGCTGCTGAGGCTTGGATCCTGGCTCTGGCTTGTTGGACAAGTGACCTAACCTGTGCTTATTTTCTCTTCTGTAAAATGGGTTCAACAGCACCTATCTCTTTGACTTGCTGTGAGGCTGAACTGTAAGTGATGCACTGAGACAGAGACTGGCCCATAATCAGTGCTCTTGAGATAGGCAGTAGTTTCCGTCTCACTTAGATCGATACCAGTTGCCACTTTGCAGACTGCGACGCATGGTTACCCCAGGTGTGTCAGGGGAGTACCGTGCTCCCCAGGGTTTTCAACGGCTGAGTTTTTGGAAGTAGATTGAGAGGCCTTTCTTCTGAGGCACTTTGGGTGGCCTTGAACCTCCAACCCTTAGGTTAGCAGCTGAGCATATTAACTGTTTCCATGACCCAGGGACTCATCTTCCCTCTTACAAGCAGCAAAATGTGGCTGAGTCCCCCTGACCTACTTCCATTTAGCTTCCTGGGAGAATTAACAGGACCAGAAGGGATTGGAATGTACAGCCACAGTCCCTCCGAGGCATTTATCTCAACCCAAATCACTGCACAGACCACTCACTAAGCACTGCTAGATTGTGCCAAGCACCTGTCTGTCCAGCAGTCCTTATAACAGCACCATGCAGTGGTTATCTCCATTTTAAAGATCAGGGAAATGAGGTTCACAGTGGTGTGTGTATGTGTGTGCTTGTGCAAGCACGGGAAGGGTGTGTGATTGTGTTCAAGGGCATCCAAGCTAAGATTTCCTGGTTGTTGCTCAGGGGACTGTGTGCACTATGGGTAACACGAGCATCTCTGTTCTAATTGTGTTCTAGCTGTGGGGTTCTCTTCCCTTCAAAGAAACTTGGGAAGGGCAGAAGAGGGCGAAATTTTGATATTGAGGTGTGAGACCAAGGAGAGACTGCAAAGTTCATCATATGGGGGAGAGGGAGAGACCACTGTATTTGGAGGGGTGGATTATCTCCTTGGGGTGCCCACACCACTCCCTTGTTTACTGAAACTCTAGCCATTTTGCTTTCTCTTTCTTTTCTACTTCCCCGTGTGCTCTTTGCATTCATCTTGAGAAATGTCTGTGGGAAATATCTGGAAGAGGAGCAGGGATGGTTCTAAGAGCTAGGGTGCTTGGAGGGGAGCCTTGAAGCTAATCTGAAGGCATTACAAGGTTCCCTGGGGCTTCTGTAGATGCTTGGGAAACACAGGTAGACCAGGCATGCAGGAGATGCTGTGGGTGATTGGTACTAACCTACAAGCAGATTTTGTAGATAAAAGCAGCAGACCTCAGCAAAAGGCTTTCCAGACTGAGTTTCATCCCACTAACGGGTCATGAAATCAATTTAGTGGGGTGCGACTAGCACTTAAGGAGCTCTGGTGGCGTAGTGCCGAAGGGATTGGATGCTAACCAGAAGGTTGGCGGTTCAAACCCCCCAGCCACCCCACAGACGGAAGACTGGGCAATCTACTTCCATAAAAATTGACTGCCTCAGAAACCCAATGGGGGTCTTTATGAGTCAGAAACAACTCAATAGCAGTGAGGTTTTTTTTTTTTTTTTTTTTGAGTGGGTCATGAAATCAACTTAGTGGGGTGCGACTAGAATTTATGGAGCTCTGGTGGTATAGTAGATAAGGCATTTGTCTGCTAACCAGGTCAGTGGTTCAAACCCACCAGCTGCTCCACGGGAGGAAGTTGGGGCAATCTACTTCCACAAAGATTTACAGTGAGTTTGGTTTTGGTTTTTGACTAGCATTTTAACAACATAATAGAAAATTACAGCATCACATCACACTTAATATTGTTTTGCGTGTAGATTGGTACTGGATCATGATATAAAATGTACCTCTTACTGTAGGTTTGAGGAGTTCTGGTAGCATAGTGCCTAAGGCATTTGACTGATAATAGAAGGCTGATGATTCAAACCTACCAGCCACTCCACGGAAGGAAGACCAGACAATCTACTTCTGTAAAGATGTACCACCTCAGAAACCCAATGGGGGTCGCTATGAGTCGGAATCAACTTGATGCAGTGACTTTGGGTTTTTTTTGGTGACTTCAGGTTTTTCAAAAATTGAAAAACACTATTTTAAGGCAAGGGCATTTTCATCCTCTAGCCTGGTTTAGAGCCTTTGTTCTGCCATTTGCATCAAAATTCAGTGTATCAGTGAAATGAGAATATTAAAACCTTCCTAATATTTAAATAGGAGCTCTGGTAGCATAGTGCCTAAGGCACTTGACTAATAACAGAAGGCTGGTGGTTCAAACCCACCAGCCACTCCTCGGAAGGAAGATGGGGCAATCTACTTCAGTAGTGATACTGCCTCGGAAACCTAAGGAGGGGTCGCTTTGAGTCTCCAACTCGACGGCACATAACAACAACAACAACAACAATATTTAAATAATATTAGGGCATGTTAAGCACTTATCACAGTCTATGATCCATTGTACATGCTTCAGTAGTATGTTAGGGCCTAATCAGGAGAATTGATTGTAGTATTTTCTTTCCAATTCTGTTTTCAGTGATATCACAAGGATGGTAGATTGAAATGACTATGGTACTTCGGTAGGATACTGTCTCGGAAACTCAAGGCCGGGTCACTATGAGTCGAGTCCGACTCAATGGCACATAACAACATAACATGGTGAGACTATTTACACCATGGAAGTCAGCAAATGTTACACATCAGCTTGTTTTTGCCCTGGAGAGCTGTTAAACATTTACTAGTTTGTCATTGGTGCTAATTATTCTTCCTTCCAAAAGCTGTCCAATTGGGATATACATGGATTGAGTTGGATTCAGTTGGGAGGGAGGTACGGTGGGGGAAGGATTAGATGAATCTCTGGGTTTGGGGGAAAGTCTAAGGAAGACATTTGTATTTTCTGCTCATGACTGTATTCTTGGCCCATAGATGTCATGTCATTTAACATTTATTGATCACCCACCATGGACTGTCTTGAACATTAAAAGAAACTGCCTGCACTCTGCGTTGATAACAAAATACGAGTGCTGGAGGGCAGGATGTCTAACCTAACCCCCAATTCTGGTTACAAATTTATTTAAGGAGAAATTTGAGGCTTTGTGGTCCGTAGCTGGGGTCCCTGCATGAGAGGGAATAGAGAGCCTGGTACATTTGCATTAACTGGAAAGCATCTAAACACACATGCCCTGGTTTGGTGTTTCAAGGCTTGACGCTACAGCAGACCTTGTTCCTCGTTTCACGTGTGAAGTTAACATATCCCAAAGATCCGTTGTGGGGCGTGGAAGGTTGTAAAGTGGCCACGACCTGCTTGGACTAGCACTTAGCATTCAGTATTATTATTATTTTTTTTCTTTTTGCAAACTTTAGGCACCAACTTAGGTCAAAAGGACCCAAGAGTGATTGTGGCCCCTCCCTGTCTTCAGAGGGCTTCCACTTAACCGACACAACGTTCCCATTTGTTAGCCTGTTTTGAATTGTATAATTACATAGCAAGAGAGAGCTCTAGTGGCACAGGGGTTAAGCCAGTTTGCTGCTAACCAAAAGGAACCCACCAGCTGCTAGCGGAAGAAAGATGAGGCCGTCTACTTCCGTAAAGATTTACAACCTTGGAAACCCTACGAGGCAGTTCCATTCTGTCCTTTAAGGTCGCTAGGAGTAAGAATCGACCCGATGGCAGTGGTGGGTGGGTGGAAGAGGGAGACGGTGACTTGCCGGAGTTCACATAGTCGACTGGGCAAAGCTTAGACTAAAACCCAAGAAATGGTCCTATGAGTGGGCTGGGCAGTTTCCGGCTTTGCAAACAGACCTCAATTTCAGTCAGAACAGCGGCTTCCCCATCAAGAAAATAGGATGGAGGTGTCGCCTTCCCCCTCAAAAAGGGAAGCCCTGCGGTGCCCCAGTAGTGTCCCTGGGCGGGTGGATTTCCGCCTCTCATCAGGCCCGGATGTGAAGTCTGACCATTACGAGGCCTGTACTTTTGGGGCACTGCGAACACCCCTCTCTGGGGCACCCCGCACCACCCCGCAGAGAAGGGAAACCGCTCCGCCACCACGTGACGCGCCCGCAGGGGTGCTCGCGCGCAGCCGGGCGAGGCCCCGCCCCTCGGGCCGCCGCGCGCCCGTCACT